CCTTTCCTAACTTTGGTTATGTTTTACTGGATAGACTTTACTTCCTCCTTTCCTAACTTTGGTTATGTTTTACTGGATAGACTTTACTTTTTTTCTTTGCTAACATTTGTTATTTTTGTTTTTGGGTAGATATTAATGAATGTACCAGCAACCTGCCAGTAGATCCTAATGGACCCTGTGGAATTGGTGCTATTTGTATCAACATTGTGGGTGGCTGTGTTTGTGAATGTCCACCAGGCACTAGTGGAGATCCTTACAAAAATGGATGTAAGTTTTTGGACATTACTTAACAAAATATTTATCAACATTGTGCTGGTGTTTTACTATTTTACAGCATTTACTGTAATATCCAGAAACGTTGGTGTGGCCGAGATATAATACTGCACAACTGATTTATATGTGAAGTAATAATTGGAAATAATTCAAAGATAAGTATCAGTAGAATAAAACTAATAAATCTGTCTTCTTTTTGTAAAATGGTATTTACTTAAAAGTTAAGTTTTCAAATGTATTTGTATACACGTTTAATATATCATATCCAATGAAACCTGGTTCTATCAAAACGAAAAGTCGTTATACAAAAACGTTATTTAAACTTTCCTTTAAAAGATTGAATGCTTGTTTTCTATATACATATATGTGTGTAGGTATATATAAATATATATAGACACACATACACATGTATGTGAGCAGGTGTATATATATGTAGAGAGAGAGAAAGATACACACATATATTTTGTTTTAATTCATTTTTTTTAAGCAAGTTGTTTTATTGATATTTTTTTGTTTAGGTCGAGACTCACCAGCTTGTTTGTCTAACTCTGACTGTCCAAGTAATACCATAATGGAAATATTAAGCAAGTTGTTTTATTGATATTTTTTTGTTTAGGTCGAGACTCACCAGCTTGTTTGTCTAACTCTGACTGTCCAAGTAATACCATTTGTGATAAGAAAGGGGGAAATTGTATAGGTAATGTTTTCTCATTTTTATAGCTGTATACTCATTTTATTATTCATATTTATTATTAGGTTTTATTTTTATATATTTATTTATGGTTCTAAATTCTGTTATCTAATTTCATACTTTCATATATACTTGTTTGTGTTTGCTAATGTCTTTATTCTTTTTCAGATCCCTGTACCACGTCATGGTGTGGCCCTAATGCTTACTGTGTACCCGAGAATCATAGAGCCAAGTGTATTTGTCAACCTGGTTTTTCAGGTGACCCTGATGATCTGAACAAAGGATGTGTTTCTCGTGAGTTTTCTTGTTTATATCATTAAATGGTTTACTTGAGTGTGAAGTTTTATGGCAGGGAAGCCACACTAAATATTAGTTATT